GGATGTAAAATTCCCTTAGTCGTCTTATGGCTCTTTCGATATGTATACGTAAGGCTGCTTTTTAAATCCTCTGTCTACCATAATTTCGCAATTCTCAGGTAGAACATTCAAATACCCACACGTTTCTGTTATAATTTTATCAGATGCGCGTCCTCCATACCCTTGAGAAATAAAATTAATAAAACCGTGAGGTGCTGCTGATATGAGATACTTCACAGTGTTACATTTTTTGTAATCAGACCATGTCAACGCTTGATTGACTGGATCGGAGGGAATTTCGATTTCCATCTCCAGGCAGTCTATGATGGACTGCAGTCTTCTATAACTATATCTGAACGGAATGGGCAACATTGCTTCAATGTAAGCAGCATCTTGCCAGTAAACAAGCTGCTTAAATAAAGCCGCCAATAAAGGAACACATTTGTTAAATACCTTCCTAATGTATGACTCTGACAGCCCAAAATCGTCAGCCAACCTACTGTTAACATCATCTAGCCGGATTTTTTTCAAACAAATCAATATATGTTGGAACTGCACTTTACCAAATTTTGAACAGAGATGCAATATAAAGTAGGTATCTTTTGGTATGCCTAAATAAAACCGGTTTCTCGTCTCCTTATGTTTTCTATAATAATTTTCGTTGAAGTCAAATTTGTTCATTGAGACTGTTGAAGCACTACTCGTGTAGGATGATGCAACAGATGAATTCACACTAGTACACGATCCACTGCTACATACAACAGACCCAGTTGTTCAAGGATTGTTTTGGAAAACGTGAACATCTGTGAATGTACCACGAGTCTTAACATCAATCCTGCATGTGTTAGTAGAAACGCTTCGTACTTTACATACTCTTCGCTTTGTTTGCACACATTTACTAATCATTCTGGCCTTGATGTTAGAATGTAAATTTTCAATGTTCATATTATGAATTTCAAATGCATCTGAAGGAGATTGAACAATTTCATTACTATTCGTTGATTTTGCGGGTACTGAATATGCGTCTTCAACTTTAGGTTCACCACTCAAAGGCCTGTGATGCGTCGATGGATCATCAAAAAAAAACTTTTTTACTGCACTTTTCCCTAGAGGCTGTAAAGCTAACAGTTTTCTTTTCCTATCAGGAGAAGAAAGCTGAGATCCTTGTAATTCCATGGGTTTTTTTGGGCTATAAATATATCGGTGTGGTAAAGCATTACTGCTTATCCGTATCCTCGTCCCTATGGTTTTATACTCCATCCAGTTCTGTACATCCTTTTGTAACTAAATAAATAATTATTGTGAATAGTTTCCTATTAAATTAATGTCATTTGCTTACATCGAAATGATCTTCGCAGCAATAAGTATGAGTACCTTTTGGAACAAAATGCTCATCCACTGCTTTGTACCATTTAATTCGCCGATTATGGTCTAAAGGAACTGACAAAAACAATTTTTTGGAGCATTTTCGAATGTAATACCACAAGAGGTTTCAGGATTACCGAATAATACTTTTACCTGTACGCATCAACACCACGACTCAGAAATCTAATCCCAAAAGGTTTATCACTTATTAAGCCTCCCGTGTCATCTAAGAAAAATGTACAGTGAGTTGTATAATTGCTGGTAGGTATTTGTGCAAGTAGACACAAAACATTTCTTTTTCGCCATCTTTTGACAACAGGCTCCTGCAAAACTTAGTAGAGAATTTCATACATCTGTCAAAACTTGTATTCCTACAATAAATTGACAGGTTTTGATTGTTGATTTGAACCAATCAGATTTGAATAACGCGATAATTTGCACTAGTGCAAATTATCAGATAATTGCATAGTAACTGGTGCGAAAACTGGTGTTTTGACATTTTTTGACAAAAAATTTAAATTTTTGATTTATGAAATTCTCTCATTAAATACAACTCGTGCAATGGAAATATATTTATAATTTTCGACAAATTTGCACTCATGCGTTTTTAACTAAAAATGCATTCGGGCAAATTTCCCAAAAATTATCAATAATTTCCATTGCACTAGTTATATTTATATTACTATTGATAATTTTTCCTAGTTAATTAATAATGATTAACTTTAACTTTTTACCTATCTCTTTTCGATTAAATTTATTTAAATTGTTTGAGCAAAAACAAAAACAACACGATTGTTTTGTTGTGGTTTTTATTTTTAACGGATAAGTTGAAAAAGTGAGGTGAGGTTGAAGGTGCGCCTAAATGTAATGATACTAAACGGACGCAGATATATCTCTCTCTTTTGCACTAAAGAGTAAGTGTGTGTCAAATATCACACGTATAGGTTTGATTTAATTCATACTCAAATACAACAGCTATGACGTAGAATTAAGGCGCGAAATATTTTCGTTCAAATAGTGCGTCTCAAAACCCTACTTTTACAGCTGTTTTAAATGAAGTTAATATTTTTTTCTGAAATTTCTTTTGATACGAGTATTTTTTATTTACTTTATAGATTAAGAATGGGGCATCGAATTTATTGAAATTATACCTTGTCCACTACCCTATTTGTTTAACAAAAAGTACATTTGACTGACAGGGTGTTTTAACGACTGTTTCGTAAAAATTTGGACGAGGCACCCAAAAATTTAAACCTCCCGCTTTTCCATTTCAAAAACTTGGCAACCCTAGTTGATGATGTAATTGGAAAACCTGAACATCGAATTTCTAAAAAAGTCAGGAAAAAATTAAATCCAGAATCGCAATAGGGAACTTTACAATTTTTTTTTAATTTTTTTAAATCATTTATTTATGCCTTGAAAGAGTATTCCCCAAATATTATTCCCTAAAACTCAATAATAACTTGGTGAAAAATGTTTAAAGTTTCGCGCGAATTAAAAGAATTTCAAACGACCTTAAATCTGGATGACGTCACGTAGTATGATTTTGCGTTAAGCCGGCGCCACACGATGTGTCCAACCATTGGCCCCAACGTTAGATACAACGTTGGGTCAGTGTTTTTTGCTCTAGCATTCGGCAAATGCACATACCTACTTACTTTTGTTACTATAAACATATCACAAATTATAGATTGGCGGATTGCCCTATGGAATTTCCTTCTTCGGTCATAATTAATAGGTATATCGTTTTATTTATATAATGCTAGGCTAATCATTGAATTTAAGCGAAGTAAACCAATTCTAATATTGATAAAATTTTGAAAAATCAGAGAAAAACGTAAATAAACACAGCTAACGAGTATTTATTATGTAGAGTTCAAGTAAACGCTCGGAGTTGCTGTTTTGTTCTTTTATCCCTGTTCTTCTCATCATAAGAAAAAAAGACGGAAAATGCTCCGAGTGCTCAGTGTTTCAAGACGAACTCACGGTATGATGGACGGTTGCTGACAGACACTGACAATTCATACTACATGACGTCACGACCAGTACCAGAGCGTTTTTTCCCGCTGGAAATAATTTGAATTTTTCTGCATTTTCAATTCCTTATTGTGGCCGTTTGCGACAAAAAAAAATTGTTTTTTTCGCTGATATAGGTTTTAATTAATGTATTCTTATGATTTATAGTAATATTTTCATGTTTAAATTTTTTGTCAAGTTCCCTATTTTCGAAATTTTCTGGATATTTCCAGAATTGGGAATTTTTCAAATTTTAAAAAGGCATTTTGTTAAAAGCTTCAAAATGCGCAACTTTGCCATAATGTAACCGACCCCGTATCGTATCTCTTATGGTTTCTGAGATCCCAATGATGAGGCTCGAATTTGAGTCATCCTATACATTCATCCAGAAAATGTAAGCATATTGTTTATACATTTTTTAATAGTTAATTCTTTATTTCACCAAACTTCCCCATGCGTGTGAAAAGTGCTATTTCCAACACTTGCACAATAGGGGTGATATTTTCATGCAGTGTGCGAACAAATAAATATCCGAGTTAATATTTATCTACCTTTAATTATTTCGTTTTGGTTACCAAATAATTTACTTTTTTTTTTTCGATTAAAAATATCTAGACAGAAAAGACATTAAATGTTACTAAATATTTAATTTTGGCCAATAATTTTTTAATTTCTCGATTGATTTAATTGAATTTCTCAATTAACTGAATTCCATTACGACCAATGGCATTACATATTGCGTTTTATCCGTCAGATTGCATATCTGAGAGTTTATCAGAAGGTGAATAGACCGGCCCTTAGTAGAAATTATCTAAACTGTGCCAAAATTAATGTAAAGTATCTGGGACACAAATAATGCCTAATAATCTTCTGGACTAATTCTACTGTCATTCATTTCAATGCATTATATTCATAGTTTGACAAATATTTGACAATAAAATTCATATAATAGGACAAGAGCTAATGTGATGCTGTCCCAGTTACTTTTGGTGACGATGGTACCTAATATAAATAATTAGGTACTCTTTTCGAGTAGAAGCTGGATTTTGTCTTAATGCGTTTAAAGATCCTACTTCACTCACAATTTTACTTATAGCGACATAATCGGGTACACTTTGTTTCACGAGGGTTTATACTTTTGACATAATTTGTCTTCCTGTTTTAACAAATAGAAAACAAATCCATGAAGGTCAAAAACGTTCGTCGGTTCCTAAACCACGATGTCAAAAGTATAAACCCTTGTGAAACGAACTTTACATATTTTTTATATTGTTGTTATATGTTGAATTTTAATTTTGAATCTATATTATATACCCCAGAAGGTATATGTATACCTTGGTACATACCAAATATGTCAAAGAATAATTTCCAATTTTTCTCCTTCAATGAAAATTATGCGATTTTTGAACAAATGCCTTTTTCAATGCTTTTTTGAAAAAAAAGGTAAAAAGCAGAAAAAGTGTTTTCTTTCTCTTTGGGTAATCGGGATTTATGTAATGGGTCACGGACCACATCCTGAATCATATATTTCATGACTAGTACCAGAGAGAGCTATGAAACTAGCCTACCTCTTTATTGTCTTTTACTATTGGAACACATTAAAATAAAATAAATTTATTCAATAATAAATCATGTTTCAGGTCACCCCATTGCGCCATGGAGGATTGGTATTGGTCCAGACTACAGATTTCTTCTATCCCTTGGTCGATGATCCCTACATGATGGGAAAAATTGCCTGTGCTAACGTTCTGAGTGACCTGTACGCTATGGGGGTCACTGAATGCGACAACATGCTTATGTTGCTGGGAGTAAGCACCAAAATGACTGAAAAAGAACGAGATGTTGTGATTCCCCTTATCATGAGAGGATTTAAAGATTCCGCTTTGGAAGCTGGTACCACTGTGACCGGAGGACAAACTGTAGTAAATCCTTGGTGTACTATTGGAGGTGTTGCATCGACTGTGGCTCAACCAAACGAATATATTGTACCGGATAATGCTGTTGTGGGAGATGTACTTGTATTGACAAAACCTCTAGGAACGCAGGTAAATATTTCAAAAAAAGTTTAAGTAATTCAATGTTTATAATATCAGTGGTAATAGTGAAACAAAATGACATCACCCAACTGTCCTTAACGAGCCTAATTATTATGTATAGGGTGTTCGAACAGCGACCGAAAAGGGGCCTATGTTTTACTTTCCCTGTAGTTTTGAGAAAATCCATCCTGCGGATATCAAAAATTGTATCAAAAAAATATTTTACCAAAAACAAAAGACTTACGCGATGGATGAAGTGTTTTTTCTTTTTAATGCAGCACCCTGTTTTTATATGATTTTTGGACTAATTTTTTCATTACCGCCATTGTGACGTCACAGCCTAGGCATTGGTAACTAAGAATGGTATGATCGTCGCCTTCAGTTTAATTTAAAGTCAAAAGAAATGTAACGTTTCTATAAAACCAAAGCCAATAAAATGCAAGATAAGCAAGAAAATTTATGGACAAAATTTACAAAATTTCATCAACTATGACAAACGTCTAAAAATTGAATGGGTAATGCTAAAATATTGAGCATTGAACCGTAAAATTTAGTAAAAAAAGCTAACAGGATATCAAATATTTCCTTCAAGAAAGACATAAAAAATGCGACTCTTCCAAAAATCATATAAAAGACCCATTGCGTGAGTCTTTTGTTTTTGGTTCAAATGCTTTTTTCAATGGAATACACATTGCTAGCTCAGAAAGTTTGGTAAAACCAAGCAGTTTTTGAAACCTTAATAAAAAAGAAACATACATTTCTGTGAAATATAAATATTTCAAATGAATAATGTATTATTTTTCTATTGAAGACGATTTCTGTAAATACAGGTTAAATTACATTAAGGTTACAATGACATTTTCATGAAAATAATCATTTTTATTTATTCTCATCAGGTTGCAGTAAATGCCCACCAATGGCTGGACCAACCAGAACGTTGGAACAGAATCAAACTGGTTGTGAGTGAAGAAGATGTTCGTAAAGCTTATCATCGTGCGATGGACTCTATGGCAAGATTAAACCGCATTGCCAGTAGATTGATGCACAAATACAACGCCCACGGCGCTACAGATGTTACTGGTTTTGGGCTCCTTGGTCATGCCCAAACTCTTGCTTCTCATCAAAAGAACGAAGTGTCATTTGTGATCCACAACTTGCCTGTAATTGCTAAAATGGCTGCAGTAGCTAAAGCGTGTGGAAATATGTTCCAACTACTACAAGGGCACTCTGCAGAAACATCTGGTGGATTGCTGATCTGTTTACCCCGAGAACAAGCTGCTGCTTATTGTAAAGACATTGAAAAACAAGAGGGATACCAAGCATGGATCATTGGTATTGTAGAAAAAGGGAATAGAACGGCGCGTATCATTGACAAACCAAGAGTTATTGAGGTTCCGGCAAAAGAATAAAAACCTACCTACTAGCGGTATTTAAAATTTTTACATTTAAAATATAAATTTTCTTCACGTAACAAGCAGTTAATTCTGTAACTGTTTATGTTGAAACAAGCTGTCACTGCTTGTAGGTAAATTTTGTTTGATTAATTTTATTTCATTAGCATTTAGCTTTCCTTACCTACCTATTTTGTAAATTTGTTTTTATGGATATATTTTTGTCACACTTTTATTGTCAAGGAAGGAAAAGTCCTGAGTTTTTTTGAAATCTATTTTGTTTGTCTAGGATTAGTAATACTTTGATAAAATGTAAAGACAGTATAGTTTTTTTGATATTCACATTTTAAAAGAAAATAGTATAGAAATTCCAATTATTTGGTATTTTGTATAATTCGTATGTTCCTTTGACGTAATGTTGAAGGTGAAAATATAATATTTTCTTTTGATTCTAGTTTATTGATCCTATCCTTAAGATCCTTTTTTTTTCATATAAATAAGGATTTTGACAAATAATTCTATTGACTAATTATTCAAGTTTATTTTCTATTTCAGTATAAAGAACCTTTCTCTTCAGGATATAAAAAGTATATAATAATATCTCCTTTATGGGTATTTACAATTTCTTCATGTCTAATTAAATAAATTGCTGCCAGTCCATATGCTAGACAAGGAATTCCTGAAAAATTAAATACTTCAAATTTTTTTAGATAAATTAGGTATTTCAGCTATGCTTACCTAAATTAATTACCTTGATGACTCTAAAAAAATAATCTTCTATGGTAAGATCTTGTGCTTTTCTTTTTGTACAATGGTATTTAATGTATGGATAACATCCAGTTCTCAAAATGTGATAATTTGATTTTCCCACTTGCCAGTTGAAGTGTGATTTGCCCCATTGATCATCTCTTATACTGCTATACTGGAATAAGAAATTCCTTTTCAACAAGAATTACAATGTTTTCAAAAACTTTTACAAATTGATTACGAGAGGTACAACAACGTTTTGAAAAAATGAAAGCAAGTATGAGGACGAGTACCTATACCAAATTTATTTTTTGCTATCTGCGCATCTATAATCTAGGTCAATAGGCTCGTAAAATAAAAGTTATTTATATCTTATAAATATGTCTAGTGATATGAATTAGGGAACGTTCTGAATTTGCACCCACTTTCCCGGCTGAGCATTTTGGGGCCCAATCGAGAATATGCTCGAAAATTCTCTTGACTTTACAAGTTCACTTATTGGTTGCTTTTAAATACGAGACCAAAATCCTAAACTAAACACGATGACAATAGGTCTGTTTCTGCAAAAATCACAAACCAGTCACAGTGAATTTCATTGGTTGAAACTAGTTTTCTGACCGTTTCTGACTGTTTCTGACTGTTTTCAACTAATAAAATTCGCTCTGACTGGTTTGCGATTTCTGCAGAAACAGACCTAATAAAATTCGTTCAAAATATAATAAGCCGGACCAACCAGCAACCTCTCAACTTCCCTCCTAAAATGTCTCAGGAGGGGGATGGATATCAAATTCAAATTCCTTGGCAAAATGGTTGTAAATCTGCTTTCATATACCGGGTGGGGCACGAAAAACTTTCCACCCAGGTTTTTTCAGGTGTTGGGTGTTTAATCAAAAATCGCTCAGACACATCAATTTTTGTTTTTTGGGGGACACATTTTATTGGTATTTTCACGCCCTACCTGTGAACCCCTAAGTGGGGGTAACAGATAACCTCAAAATTTCAAATGGAAAGAAGGGTCGAGTGATACGTACGTCATTTGGTAGCTATTTTCATTGAGATTATATTCCCGAAGTTTCAAGTTGCTACTATTAACCCTATATAAATGCCTTTTTTCGATAATCTAAGCTGTATAGTTTTTACCTGTCACACCTATTCGTAGGTAACAGGTAAAAACCACATAGCATTTTTCCATTGATTTTTCCTAACTTTGACAAGCCGCCATTTCGACAGGGTGAATAGTAGCAACTTGAAACTTCGGGGATATAATCTTGATGAAAATAGCTATCAAATGACGTATCACTCGACCCCCCTTTTCATTTGAAATTTTGTGGGTACCTACTTGTCATCCCCACTTAGAGGTTTACAGGTAGGGGGTGAAAATACCAATAAAATGTGTCCCCCAAAAAACAAAAATTGACGTGTCTGAGCGATTTTTGATTAAACACCTAACACCTTAAAAAACCTGGGTGGAAAGTTTTTCGTGCCCCACCCGGTATAACAGATTTTTTTACCAGTGTGGAGTGGGGCATGGGTAACATTAAGTTAGACGAGTTTCTGGTCGAATAGATAACTGTATAAAGTTAGGATTGTCTTTTTCTTAAATAAAGGTCTGCAGTGATCTATATTGTTGGCACCACAGATGTACCTAAGAGCCCAATTCTGAAATATAAAAACAGAGTCCACAGATTCTGGGAACAGAACCCCCAAAACCATATCTTAACCCTGACTCAAACAAGGCAAAATAGACCAATCTGAACAAAGAACGTCCCAGTTCAATGGCCGTTATTCTGACTGCAAAACACCCAGATGATATTTTCTTTGAAAGACTGCAATGTGAGATTTAAAACTCAATTCAGTGTCAATAATAAGTTCCAGAAACTAGTCTCATGTCGACATTCAATAGAAATATTGTGGACATTGACGAGTCCTAGATCGCATCTAAATCACAAAATATTTGTTTTAGTTAAGTTTAACACCAGAAGATTAGAATCACACCAAGATTTGAGCTGTTGAAAATCTGTGAACTCGTTTTAGACTCTGGTGGTCAGCACAGTGCCATAGAATTGTGATGTCTGCAAAACAAAGTAAATTTCCCGGTAATATTTAGTAACACAAGGTCATTTATAAAAAATAGGAATAGGAGTGGTCCCAGTACCGACCTCCGAGGTACATCCCAATTATTTTCTAAAACCACTGATTGAAACGTTCCAATGTAAACTTTCTGATGACGATCAGACAAATAGAATTGTAACCATGTGAGTGTCACCCCTTAAAGCCATAGTGAGAGAGCTTCTGCAACAGGATGTGGTGATTGACGCAATCAGTTGCTTTTGATAAATCGCTGAAAGCTGCTGCAGTTACTCCAACACTATAACTGCCGGAATAAAAACCTTCCAAAAATTGGAAAATCTCATCATCTGTATTGCGATGTTCTTGAAAGCCAAATTGAAAACAACATTGTTTGTATTCAAAAATGAGATCATTATACTTTTAGCCAGCTTTTCTACAATTTTTTTGGATAGATTAGGATTAGAAAGTAGTGATATGGGCCTATAATAATTAGAGGGATCTCCCAAATCTCCGCTCTTGTGAAATGGAATTACTATTGCCAGCTAAAGATGAAGAGAAGACATCAGACGCCCAAGATAAATTGATTGTCTGAACCAAAACTTTGTCAGGCAAATTTGCACAGATCATCATCCTCAGAGCTTTTTTTATTTTCAATACCTGATATGATCTGTTTTAATTCTTCCAGAGCAGTGGGCAAAAAGTCAGTCAGGAGACATGTCGCTATTATTAATGTTTGGGAAAAAAATGACTTTTCCCTCGAATATCGTTTATAATCGACCAACTTTCCCTTTGTTTGTTGGATGCATTTGCAAGACGATAGGAGTAATGTTATTCTTTGACTAACTATAAGTTTTCTATAGATTGACCGGTAGTTATTAAAATAGGTGTGAAAGTGTGGAATATCCTGGATTATCTGTGAATTTTCTAATATAGTGAAGATTTCGAAGATTCTTAGAAGACACCTTAAGTCCTCTGGTAAACCAGGGTTTTTTATCTGGTAATTTAATTCCCTAACAGGAAATGTCGTGTGAAAACTTTTCATCAATTTATTGTGAAACTCCCCAATAGGATCCAGAGACGAATAAACAGTCCACCAGGAAGCACATAGTCAATTCAATTCAATTCAATTCACATATTAGTATTATTCCTCAAGTCACAATAGAGTAGAAAAAGTTATTTTAAGTCTTAAGCTATTTAAAATAAACTACGCATATCACAGAACTTTTAAAATATGACATATTAGAACAGTGGTGCAAAATAGTTCAATGAAAATCGACTTCTTTGAAGTCTGAGGAAGTCCATTCTTATGTCACCTCCCTGCCTTGTATTATAGTTGTGGTAATCGCCATTTAAGTTGTAATGGTTCTGGGTCTCATGTGAATACTTAAGACATGTATGTCGATGGTAAGTATGCTTAAATTGATGAAAGTCTGCCTGACATCCTCCCTGTACGCCTTGCCAGCAAAAATCTTAACAGCTTTGCGTTGCAAGGCGAAGACTCTAGCCATATGACAAGAATGCCCCCAAGCGAGTAAAGCATAGGTTGCCAAAGCCTAAAATACAGCATGAAATGATTGGGTTAGAATCGGAAAAATGAGGATTTTTGCAAGATTACGCAGGAGATATATAGGTACTTCTAGAAAATTTACCAGCGACCTTCCCAACATGTTCTTCAAAAGTTAGTGTTGGGTCAAAATACACCCCCAGAAACTTGACCCTTTCAGGATTGTCCTCCGGAATTTGCCGCAAACTAAAAGTAATTTTAATAGTTTTAACCCTATTCAGGGACAACTTATTAGCAACAAAACAGGTGAAGAGTCTCCTCTCATCCTGCCTCGCCGTCTCCAACAAGTCGTGGAAACCTATCATAGTTTCATGAACTAAAAATTATTTTGTCGTTTTCAGCAGGGACGTAGCGAAGGCCTCTGGTTTGGGGGGGGGGGGGGGGGTGACATTCCTAATTTTCCCAACTTTATTGAAACATAAAAAAAATCATATGTAGCATCATACGTCGTACACGTGTTAAGAAGTGGTACTTCTTAAAAACTATTCCCTCCCTCATACAACTTTTAAACTTAGCGCATGAGTCGGGGTATAAAGACGAAAGGCTACACAATAGACAAAGGCGCATCTGTAGTGACGTCACAAGGGTATCGGCGCCTGCCGCTTGACAATAATAGGCAATCCTCTTTGCTTATAATCTTTCGTTCGTGTGAATTGTTCGTCGGCTGTCATTGTCATTGGTTAATGTCTTTCTTCGTTTCTCTACGTTATATCTTTCCTCTATCTCGTCTCTCGTGTAACGAAATTTGCCAAAACGTGACGTTACGTGATGCGTCGTTCGTCTTTCAAATCACTCTCCATATTCTCCTCTGAATATCAGACCGCCGCCTAAGAAGTTTCACTTCAGAAACTGATAAAAAGTTTGACATGTACAGGGTGGTCCAAATTGAACACTTTCTTATGGAAACACCCTTTATTTTTAGAAATAGAAAAAAATGGACCCCCCACTCTGAGGCTCAAATTTCATGAAATTTTGATTGGTGCAAACCGCATTTTGATATCTTCAACCGTTTAGCCGCTAGAGGGCGATTCTCGACTTTGAGCAATACTGTAAAACCTCCATAACTTTTTTGTTTATGGAAATAATTTATTTCCGTAAAGACCTTTTGAAAGCACTTTTTCAAGCAGAATTCAGTGACATTCTCAGTTTTTTTCTGTCTGGCTTCGATTTCGAGATATTGACCAAAATCCGATTTTTTTCAATAGGACACTCTATATATTAATAGATCATTAGAAAGCTATGCTTTCGCTGATTTTAATGATACAAGTTTGATAGGTTTATCTTTAACAGTTTTCGAGAAGAGACCTTTCTCAGTTTCCTTACAGAGATAAAGTCCTTTTCCAACACATTGTTTCTTATGACAAAAACCGAAATAATTTTTTTTCTCGAAAACTGTTAGAGATAAACCTATCAAACCTTGTATCATTAAAATCAGCGAAAGCATAGCTTTCTAATGAACTATTAATATATAGAGTGTCCTATTGAAAAAAATCGGATTTTGGTCAATATCTCGAAATCGAAGCCAGACAGAAAAAAACTGAGAATGTCACTGAATTCTGCTTGAAAAAGTGCTTCCAAAAGGTCTTTACGGAAATGAATTATTTTCATAAACAAGAAAGTTATGGAGGCTTTACAGTATTGCTCAAAATCGAGAATCGCCCTCTAGCGGCTAAACGGTTGAAGATATCAAAATGCGGTTTGCACCAATCAAGATTTCATGAAATTTGAGCCTCAGAGTGGGTGGTCCATTTTTTTCTATCTCTAAAAATAAAGGGTGTTTCCATAAGAAAGTGTCCAATTTGGCCCACCCTGTACAGGGTCTTTTCCTCATAATTAGTGCGGCTTCTACAACTTAAATTAATAAAAATACAAAAAATAGTTAAATACAAAAGTTGTAGGGTTTTATCTCTATTATGTTTTGCACATGTCAAAATGGGCAAATGACAGGTTCCAACTGTCATAATGACAGCACTTGCATTTTTTTAAATAGAACATCTTGTATATTTTTAGCTAGGATGATGGATTTTTCTCTCAGCAAGCCTCATCATTGATATTAGAATCCGGGAACAGACCTAATTTAGGGTAATGTAAATGTATTTTTAAACTTGAATAGCGTAAAAACAGCTGAACCAAATATCAACATATATGGTATATTTGAAATCAGAAGAAAAAAATTCATTATCCTAGCTAAAAATATACAGGGTGTTCCATTTAAAAAAATGCAAGTGCTGTCATTATGACAGTTGGCACCTGTCATTTGCTAATTTTGACATGTACGGAAGATGAAAGAGATAAAACCCTACAACTTTTCTATTTAACTATTTTTTGTATTTTCTTTTGTTTAAGCTGTAGAAGCCGCACTAAATATAAGGATCAGACCATGTACAGTCGTGAGCATAAAAAGTGGGACACCCGTTTTTTCCTATTGTAAAACGAGCTCATCAGCTATACCTATGGCAATGACAGGGATTGTCATATTTGAAAAAAAAAAAATCCATTGTAGAGAAAAGACTGATTTACCCAAAATAGTGAAAAATGACCTGTCAGTCGGGTGTCCCACTTTTTATGCTCACGGCTGTATATATTCCAGACCCAAGATTCCTAAAGTTAATAGGTTGCCTGGTAATGAGTAACTTGATGACGCATCTAATCTGGGGTACCTTGAAGATTTGCATTATGTTGAGGCAGCCCAGATGACGTCATAAAGTTATCAGGCAACCTACCTCTCTCAAACAACCTTGTTCCAGACCTACAAATAATATAATCAAATAAAATAAACAATGTATAAAAAACATGTATAAGAGAAATGTTCGAAAAAAACATTTCTTCAACATAAGACCACAGGATTCAGAACTTTGCGGAAATCTGAATAGCGAGCAAAGAATGTGCAGAACGCAGAAAGTAATAAGAAGTTTGGATTATCTAATATACCTACTATATTGTCCATCTCTCTCAAACACGACGTGCTTGCAACAACAAGCTATAGATATAACTACGTCGGTCGTCGGTCTTGACTCTCGAATAGTGAATAGCGCGCTAGTGGCGCTAGAGCCACTACTGTCACGAATGCCACGTGCCACTGCCACAGGCTAGTGGTGCTAGTGCAGTGCAATGTGCAACGCAAGAGATCGCCCCAACCATTGGGATTTCGTCATCCTGTTGTCCGGTGATTGATTTAGCAATTCATTAGGACCAGAGCTGGGCAGTATTTGCAATTCTAAATACTTTTTAGTATTTAAATACTTTAAAGTATTTAAATACCTAGTATTTAAATACTTTTCTAAAACTGGTATTTGTATTTATGAATCCAAATACTTTTTGAAATATTTGGTATTTAAATACTTTGAAGTATTTTAAATACTTTCAAAAGTAGTTAAATACTTTCAAGTATTTAACTTCTCTCAAAATTATTTAAATACTTTCAAAAGTATTTAAATACTTTTTCTTCTGCAAAAAATATACAGATAAACAAGATTCAACTCGTCAAATTATCAGTTCCTAAGGCGGTTACACACGGACGTGGATGTCTGGAAACATGTACGCACATACATGAACGCGCAAACAAAAACATCAATGTGTATGCAAAATATCGTCGCGTTTTTGAATGTGCAATTTTGTATGCACACTCGGAATACTGTAGCAAGACTGCAGTTTTGTGCGAGCGTCTGTTATCCGCCTCTAGACTAGACATGTGCCGTGTGTGTATCTTTGGCTAGACGGCTTCTGAAAATATATGCAGGCAGGCAGGGTAGTTTGTTTACGCGCTTTTGGTGAAAAATATTTGTTGTTTCTGCTGAGGTTGTTGTGTTGGTTCAAAGAAAAAGTGCGAATTGACGCCTTTCTTTTTTAAACTCGCCTAAATTTTTTATCCAAGTTTTCCCAACTTTTGATATATATCAGGAACTTTGGGGGGGGGGGGGCGTTGCCCCCCCCCCCAAGGCTCCGTCCCTGGTTTTCAGTCTAATGTAGGTACCGCAGTTTCGGTATATACATTTTCAATTTTAGTCATGTCATGATATTTTTCTTTCAACATGTGATCAACTTTGCGATCAACTTGCATTCTTCAAAAATAAATGCTTGAGCATTTTCCATCACTAGATATGTCTAAGTACACGGTGGCTCGAATTCAAGCCACATCATTGAGAAATCGCAATGATGAGGCTCGAATTTGAGCCACGCTGAACAAAACAGAATATTTTTTTTTTTTTTTATAGGTACAGAAGTAGTAGGGTTTCACCTCTATTATCTTTTGCACAATGGGACAACACAGGTGCCAACTGAAAAACAAAAATAAAAAGGGCTACCTACCTACTTATGGGTTTTTTTTAAAGAAGGAAACATTAAAAAGTACTCATCAACCGAATAAAATGCCTGCAACAGCAGTGCTTCTTTTACTGTTTTTATGAACTTTGAGAGCTCAGAGATTTGCTTAAAAGATGAAGGAAGATGATTGTGTAAATTTTAATGCTATCATAGTTACCTAATGAATTTTTTTAACGAGAGTTGAATGAGGAATTCAGAAGAGGTA